AAATTTCAACGATTGAGACTCGCGTGCGATTGTCGTCATAGTAATGCTTGATTTCGCGATCCCGACAACGTTACGTTGCGCATTGGTGAGACCTTCAGCAATCTCGAGGTCGGGGAGGGCAGCGCCCTGTATATCTCTGAGGCTGATCTGTCCAATCCGTCTTACCATCTCCAGTTGCCCTTCGAGTTGCCGGATCGGTTTGCCCTCCGCCGCGTTCGGGCTCGGGACGTCGGTTTGATTGAAATCAACTGTGGGCCAGTGCGGGAAGGGGCCTGGGTGCACCCGAGACTGCGCGTTTGCCTTATGGGGTGGACATGGGCACCGTGGTGGTGTCACTGTATTCAATTCAGGAGAGGTTAGTCGAACGTTGTGGATGCCACCCCGCCGGCCGATTGCAGGATCGTCGAGTCACCCCTTTGTTAGCAGGTGCGTGTCATCTCGAGTATGTCGACAACTTCGTCGCTATCTCGACTGTCGCCTCCAAGGTGCATCGCCTCGCGTCGGCCGTCGTCGAGGGGTTCAGGGAGGCGGGCCTGGTCGTGGCCGCTGACGTCGACGCGCCCGATGACGATCTCGCGCGGGATCGCAACGCGTTGGGATGGGACACGAGTTGTCGCGCAGCTGTCTCGAGGCCCACTCGGGCCCGAGTCAGGGGGGCTCGCCTCTGCGCGCGCGCCGCGCTGCGCCGCGGTCGTGTCTCTGGGAAAGTTCTCGAGAGGCTTGTGGGGCAAATCGGGTTCATCAGCCTGGTGCGCAGGGGGGCTTCTCGGTCTGCGACACGTTGTTCGCGCTCGTCCGCCGCTTCTACAATGCGGAGGCCTCGCCGTGGCCCAGCGCGACCAACGAGCTCACCATCTGGGAGGGGATCTCGCCGCTTCTGTGGCGCAACCTCAAGGCCTCCTGGGGGCCGGCGCTGTGCGCCATGGACGCGTCTCCGACCGGTCTAGGGGTCTGCTCGTCGGCCATCTCCGTCGAGGAAGCTCGAGGCCTGGGGAGGCACTGCGAGCGCTGGCGTTTCTCTCGGGGTGCCCGTCTTCCTCCGCGTCTGCAGGCTGCCGCCGCTGCCGCCGTGCCCGACGGCCCCGAGGTGCAGTGGCTGTCCGGGGTGCGCGACAATGGGTCTGGAGGTCTCTGGGGCGTCGACGGGGGCCCGCCTCGCGCAGGCAGCGCCGCTGACGTTCTGGGTTCTGGACTCGGTGGCGCTCGCGGAGCCGATGCCGATCCTCGAGGGGCGGGCCATCCCTCCGACGCGCCTTGAAGAGCGCTCAGAACTTCGGGCGGCGGGTCGCCGTCTCGGGGGACGCTCTCGTGGCCACCTGTGCAGTCTCGAAGAAGCGTTCGGATTCCAGGGCGATGTTGAGGGCCATTCAGTCGGTCGCCGCTGCCTGTCTGGCCACTGGGCGCGCGCTGCACTGCCGGCGGCTCCCCTCGGAGCGGACTGCGGCCGACGGCCCATCGAGAGGGCTCGCCGCCCCCTCGGCGCCGCAGCCGCTGTCTCTCTCGAAGCCCCACAAGGCGGAGTGGCTTCGCTCAGCTGGGCAGGCCCCGCCCGCCCCGCGGGCTCGCGCCGCGGCTGGTGGCGACGCCGCTGCGGGCGACGCTCTCGACCGGCCCCCCTGGGGCGGGTCGGGTTCGAGGCCGGCGGCGGTGGGCAGACAGACCCGCGCGCCGCCTGCTGGGAGACCGTCTTCGTCAACGGGGTTTCCTTAAGCCGCCCCCAGCGCCAAGCCTTCGGCCGCCCCCCGCACGGCGCCGCGCGCTCCGGCGCGAGCCCCCCCGCGGGGCGCCAGGCCCGGGCGAAGAGGCGGCGAGGCGGCGAGCCGCGGCGACTGCGGCCGACGGGATGACGGTGTCAGACGCACTCGGTCCGCCCCGCTACGTTGCGGTTGTACCAAGACGACTTTAGTTTTTTCAAGCGCTGGCTGCAGCGGCAGGGCCACCCCGTGCCAGTGGGCGAGGCCGACGCCGACCTGGTGCTGGCGCAGTCCTTGGACGAGATGCACCTCGACGGGGCGCGCGGGCGCGCCTCAGCCTGGGGCAGCGCATGCTCGCCGCGGCGCTGCCCCACCAGCCCCCCCCGAGCAAGGCGGGGGGCGCGCGGGTGCCGCGGAGCCGCCGCGCGCCCAAGGGCTGGCAGCGCCTGGCGCCTGCGGGTTTCAGGCTTGGGGCGCCGTACGAGGTGATGTGCATGATCGCGATGTGGACGCGGCTGCACGGCCTTTGGGAGGAGGGGCTCGTGACGCGGCTGACGTTCGAGATCACTGCCGTCCGAACGAGCCGTTCACCCTCCGCGCGAAGGACCTGGCGCCCCCCGTGGCCGGGTCGCGGGCGGGCGGGAGCTGGTCGCTGACGCTGCATGCCCGCGAGCACGGGGTCGCCTCCAAGGCCGAGAAGCTCGACCAGGCTCAGCTCCTGGACCTCGAGCGGCAGGCGGGCCCCGGGCCGGCCCTGGCCGCCCTGCTGGAGGCGCGCTTCGGTGCCCAGTGGCGACTGTCGGTGCTGAAGCGGCCTGTCGGGGCAGCAAGCAGGCGGGTCAGGCCTTCGAGAGGGCCGCGCAGGCGCTGGGGCTCCGGCGCGCGGGCGCGGCGTGCCGCTACCAGCTTCGCCGCGGCGGCGCAAGCCGCGACGCGGCGACCTGTGATTGGACGCTGGATCAGATCCGCCACCGCGGCCGCTGGCGCGCCCACGGCAGCCTCCGCCGGCGCGAGAAGGGCGCGCGGCTCGGCGAGGCGTTCGAGCGTCTGACGCCCCCTCTGCGCGTCCACGCGCTGCGCTCCGCCGACTTGCTCGCCGCGGTTGCGGCCAGGCGTCGCCGGTCCTTCGCGAGCCCCTGAGGATGCCGGTCTTCGTTGAGATCTTCTCAGGTTCCGGCAGGCTCGGGCGCGCTGCGGCGCACGAGGGATTGCAGATGTCGCGGTGGGGCATCTCGTTCGGCGATGCTTATGACCTGACGTTAGGTAAGAACCAGAACTTGCTGATGTGCCGGGCGACGGGCAGGCTCGCCATCGGGTTCCCCGTTGCGCTGCCGCGCCAGACCTACCCCCTCATCCGCGATCATGGAAACGGGCCGCCGCCGCTGAGGAGCAACGCCTGGCCCCGGGGGCTGCCCGGCCTTCCGGCCGCCATGTGGCGCAAAGTGACGTTTGCTAATAATTTCGCGCGTTTCGAATGCCGCTTGTATCTTGAGGGTATTCTTCGTCGGATCCCCTGGTCCCTGGAGAATCCGCGTACCTCGCGTTTTTGGCTGTGTAATGCAATCGTTGCTCTTACTAGGCGGAAGAATGCGAGCACTGTGTACACTGATTTCTGCATGTGGGCCGGGCCTTTTTTTTTTAAAAAAAAAAAAAAAAAAAAAAAAAAAAAATGTATATATATATATATATATATATATATATATATATATATATATATATATATTTAAAAAAAAAAAAAAAAAAAAAAAAAAAAAAAAAAAAAAAAAAAAAAAAAAAAAAAAAAAAAAAAAAAAAAAAAAAAAAAAAAAAAAAACGCGTTCGACTCCTATCTCGTCGATCTCTCTGGGCCTGCTGCTCGCAGGTGCATCGGCAGTTGCCGGATGCGCGCCCGCGCAGGCGAGCCCCATCAGCAGTTATTCGGCAAACGTCAGGACGGTGTGTTGTGGGCCAAAGTTGCTGAACCATAACCAGCCCCTCTCTGCAGTTTCATTGCCAAACGGTTCTGGGATGTTTTTGCTGCGCGGACCGCTCAGAAATTTGACAGGCTCCTGTCTGGCGCTTTAAATCCCAGCGATGCCAGTTGGCACTCGTGCAAGTATGGCGTTTTCTAGCTTGACGGTGCACTCTTGGCAGTGCGTGCGGCCGAAGCCACACACTTGTGACGTGGGTATTGTAACTCGTTGCCTGCCCGCCCGCTCGCTCCGGTCGGTGGCGCCACTGCATGTAGAAACTCATCGTCGTCTGGCCTCGAACGGAAGCCTGAGCAATTGCAGTTATCCTAACGCATTTTGCGGAGCATGAGTGGGTCGGGCCGCCTTACCGTTTGGGCCCAAGGCGCCCACCACGCCCGCCCTTCTTTCGCCTTGAGCAGTGCGTGCGGCCGAAGCCACACACACTCGTGACGTGGGTATTGTAACTCGTTGCCTGCCCGCCCGCTCGCTCTGTCGGTGGCGCCACTGCATGTAGAAACTCATCGTCGTCTGGCCTCGAACGGAAGCCTGAGCAATTGCAGTTATCCGAACGCGTTCTGCGGAGCATGAGTGGGTCGGGCCGCCTCTACCGTTTGGGTTCAAGGCGCCCACCACGCCCGCCCATCTTTCGCATTGCGCACCGCGTGTGGCCGAAGCCACACACACACACACACACTCTTTTGTGACATGGGTATTGTGACTCGTTGCCTGCCCGCCCACCCGGTCGGTGGCGCCACTATATGTACAAACTCATCGTCGTTTGGCTTCGAACGGTAGCCTGAGCAATCATAATTATTTGTTTGCCCCCAGCCCCCGGGTTCCCCACCAGGTTTTTTGTGTCGCAATATGGACCCCGGTTTAACATATCCCGGAAGCCATAAACGCGGATTCGTAACGGTTCTGGAATGTTGACCCTTGGTTGAGCCCGGGGGGGCGCCGTTTGAGAGTACGTTCCGGACTCAAATTAACCTTGGTCCATAATGTTGAAATATTAAACTTAGCGGAAAGATAATGATTCGGCCGGGGGGGGGAGCCCGATCCATTCACAGGATCATAATCCATAGGGTATCTATACGAAAATAAAGCACCTAGCATTTCATTCTTAGCTAATAAACCACGGTCGACCAGGATTTCAGACCGACCCTCCAGTTGACCCAGGTTTGCTTGAACCGGGGTTGAAGATCCCCGAAAAATTGTCCGTCGTGATTTGTTTTCACCATGCGAGGAGGTCTGGGTTGACTTCTCAGAACGATTCGTGGTCGGCCTGTAGGAATGCTGGGGCGCTCGGTCCCTGCTCCGTGGCTGCCCGCGGGACGGCGCCCCGCGCACGGCCCAGGAGCTCATCAGCGAGCCGGACCGCGGGCCCCGCAGGCCGTGCGCGGCCGCCGTGGAGAAGGCGCCTTTTTCCTCTTCCATGCCTCCTCCTCCTGCTCCTCCACTCCTTCTCTTCCATTCCTCCTCCTCCATTCCTTCTTTCCTTCTCCTTGTAGACAAATTCTCCGTGTCGCACAGCGAGGCCAGTTTTTAGGGCGGGCCGGGCGTTTCGCCTGAGACTTCCTCACCACGTATGATTCTGAAGCCTCGAAAGTAGCAACAGGTTCACAGATGGAGGGCGGATCGCTTTCAAAATGTGGCTCTCGTTTTAGCGCCGCGTACATTCGTTTTCGAAATTTGCAGAGCTTCACGGATTGAGGGCGGGTCGTTTTCAAAATGTGGTTCTCGCTTCAGCGCCGCGCACATTCGTCTTTTAAAATTTGCAAGAGCTTCACGGAGTGAGGGCGGGTCGTGTTCAAAATGTGGTTCTCGCTTCAGCGCCGCGCACATTCGTTTTAAACATTTGCCAGAGTTTCACGGATTGAGGGCGGTACCTTTTCAAAATGTGGTTTCGCTTCAACGCCGTGCGCATTCGTTTTTTTGTTAATGCGAGAGCTTCACGGATTGAGTGCGGGTCGTTTTCGAAATGTGGTTCTCGTTTCAGCGCCGCGTACATTTGTTTGAAGAAATTGCAAGAGTTTCACGGATTAAGGGCGGTTCATTTTCAAAACGTGGTTCTCGCCTTAGCGCCGCGCACATTCGCTTTAAACATTCGTAAGAGTCCCACAGATCCCCAGGACCAACATGACCAGAGATGGTAATGTGTAAGGATTCAGGATTATGTGGGCGCAACAGTTATGTTGAATTGCTGTGTTGAAGTCCCAACGATGGCCGCCTGGCACGATTCCGGATCGTCAAGACGCAGCAGCCAGGTTGATAGTTGGCGTTGAAATCCCGAAAGCAATGTTTTGGCACGCTTCAGGATCTTCAAACGGTTGTCTTCCAACGAGGCATTTCCCTCAATGGAAATGAACCGTTGTAGGCGCCTGCGAAGAGGGAGCTTGGAGCGAGGGTTCATTCCAACATTGTTGATGACTCTTGAGTTTACATTGGTCCTCCTCCTTCTCCTCCTCTTTTCGACCTTATCGGCTCTGTGTCCGTCAGAGAACGTAGCCGCTCAACGCGGAGGGGTTCCACCTCCCCCTCCGCTCAGATGACGTAGTCCAGGTGATCGCCGAACTCGTCATTCCCGAACTTGGCCCCCCCTCGGGGGCCGCCAGACCCCTCCCCCTGTGGGAGGGCGGCACGCTCACCCCTGAGGGGGGCGATGGCGATGAGGAAGCCGCTGTTCTAGGAGGTCATTGCCTTGGAGCTCTGGATCGGGTGCGGTATCCTCGCGCAGGCCGAATTGGACTCTGCGTCCCACCGGGTGCTTCGCGCCACCGCCCGCTGAAGCAGCCGCCGGTTCTCGCAAGCTGGGCCGCCGAACTTCAGTTGACGGTGTTTGCCGTGCTGGATGCTCGCGGCTGCCCGCTGCCACGGCCCGTTCTCGCAAGCGCATGTCCCAGCTTGTGGCTGATGGCGTATGGTGTCCCAACTTAGCGTCGCTGCCTGCTGCCTCGTCGTCCTCGGTCGTGTCACCCCCGCCGTCGTCTGACTCGGGGTACTCATCCTCGTAATTGTCGCCGCCGCCGACGTGATGGAGAAGGTCTTGTATCATGATCACAGCTTCGTCGAAGAGGTCCTCTTCGACCGTGTCTGACGCGTAGATGGAAATCTGTGGGGAATTTGCAAACATGTTGGGGAAGACCCTCACTCCCGTAGTCCGCTCCACAAACGGTATGTCCTCACGCACGTCTCTGAGGAAGCGGTCCTCGTCGGCACGCTCAAGAGTGATAGGGATGTGGCGTTCACGCGCCCGCGTGTGGTTCGACCAGTTCACGGCGGCCTTCAGCTTGGGGGTGACCTCCCCCCCGACAACTGCAGCAGCACCGCTTGCAGTTGGCACCGTCTGGGTACGGTAGGTTTGCGTCGTGTCGACCAGCGGCGACCCCAGCGCGGGCGTTCAAGGTTGAACGCCGCCGGCGACCCAGAATCGATCGATGTTGAACGATCGGACGTTGCGGCAGCGGCCGATCGTTCAAGGTTGAACGATCCCTGCGGTGTCAAAAACCAACGCTGGGGTCGGCACGACACGAACCTGCCGTACCTTGCCTGACGCCCGCCTCCACTGCCGTGTCTTCTCGCACGCGCGTGTCCCAGCTTGTAGCCGATGACGTGTGGATTCCGCGGCGCGTCCGTCGCGACTCCCTGGCGCCCTCCGCGCGCCGAAGGAGAGAGGTCCAGCGCCGACCGAGGAAATCCACGCAGACCTCCGAAAGTTTATGCTTACGCCGTTTCCACTGTTTGGAGTGTCCTCGTCACTTGTAGACCGACGAGCACCTTGGAACGCTTGTCCCGGCTCGCAGATGCACCCCCGATGTGTTCGTCGCTTGTGTTTGTCACCGCTGACTGTGCTGGTGGTCTTCATGGGGGCGCGATTCCCGAAGTCGAGTCTCGCTTCCTGCATCTCCCAGGTCACAAGCAGGGGCGCAAAGGTGATCGCGCTTCGCGGTCTGAGCCGGAGAGCTGTTCTTCTCTAGAGTGTTGCGCGAGGGCGAGAAGTTGATCGCGCTTCGCGCGCGCGAGGCGCGATGATGTTGGGCGATGTGAAGGCTGTACCGATCGGTTCTTCGGGCGACCAGCCATCTTCTCTACGAGAAAGTCCCGCGGGTGCGCGCGGATTCGCCCCTCCCCGGTGCCCAGGCGCGCCCCCGAGGCCGGCGCACCACAGAGGTCCCTCCTCCTGCCCTGGACGGGGCGGAGAGCCACAGTCTGGCCTCCGGGCGCAGGCCGTACGAGATGCTACGGCCCAGAGCCCGGAGGCCTCGGTTCGAGGCCTCGGTTCGAGGCCGTGTCCTCCCTCACGTCCCTCCTCCCTCCCTCCTCTGCAGCGCACTGTGTTTCGCTCTCCCTGGATGTTTGTGCGAGCTGGGCGCCGCCTCCCCGTCCGTGTGTCCACCGCAGGGCCGCGAGGACAACCGCGCCTCCTCGGCTGGGCCACGAGGGCTCCCTCTCCAGGATCACCGCCGTCGGCGCACAAAACGCCCACGGAATGGAGAAACTTGCGCCCGTATGCGTTGAGACCCCGCCCCCCGATGTCGATGTTGAAAGCGGGTGTGTGTGTCTGCGGGATTGAACCATGAGCGCTCGCGCCGATGACTACACTCCGACAACGGCAGCGAAGGCAACATTGAAACGTGGGACACAGGGGCGACCCCGTCGGCGCAACATCTTTGGATGGGCGCTTTTTGCACCCACAGCGGCAGTCCTTCATCCCGGGCCGCTCCGTCACAGTTCCCGGGGCCCGCGGAGGGCCCACAAGGGGCCGAGAACTACGAACATTTTTTTGCATGCCACTCCCGCCTGGCTAAAAGTCCGCTCAAAGTCTGCCCCTGAACCTCTGCATGGGGTCCATCCTGCACAGTTTCCCGAGGCGGATCCAGCCGTGGCTGCAAGAAGCTTCCAGGAGGCCCAGAACCGATGAAACATCGACGGGGTGGGCCGCCGCTGTCTCGACCAGTCCTCCTCCGATGACCATTAAGTCGGGCGTGTCCCTCTACAGGAGGAATATTCAAAAATACTCCAAAAATAGTCGGGGGACTTTTTTGTTGAGTATGTTTCATTGGTTTCGAGTATGTTTGACTATGCTTTATGTTTCTTCCCGGATCCGCCTGTAGGGGGACATGCCCCACCCAGGATCACCCTCGGGGCGGGCGGCACGATTTTCGCAGTCTGGGCGGGGGGCGGCGGGCGCAGCGCTCGCGGCAGGTGATACTGCGCGAGCTCGGCGGGCTCGCCATCAGCCCGAGCTGATAGCCTGGCCTCTGCTCCTCCTGCTCCTCACCCTCGGTGGGCCCGGGAAACAGCAGGGGCGTGTTTTTTTCTCAGTCTCGTTTCTCCGTGTGTCCTGTTCCGGTCCTGTCTCCGTCTGTTGTCTGGTTTTGTCGCCGCTTCTGGCCAGCGCCGCGTGCTGCTCCGAAGGGCCAACTTTCTGGAAACGGATACAGAAGTTCTTTGAAGAATCAACAACACACACACACACACACACACCCATACCCATAGGGGGGTCGGAAAGGGCTATGAGTGCGTGTTGTCGGATGGGGGTCCCCGCTCGAACGAGAGCGTTCCCCAGGGTCCGACGACACGCACCCATACCCATAGCCAGTCCTCCTCCCAACGACCCCACTATGGTATGGGTGTGTGCTGTTCGTTCGTCACTCCTCGCGTAGCGAAAGACACCTTCCCCACCTTACGATGACATCTGGAACGTTCTCGAGGACCCCCCCGAGGGTTTCCCGGCCTCGGGCTGCTTTCCAGCAGCTGCGCCCCACCGAGGGCGTCGCGGCGGTGCCCGGATCGTCCCGCCAGCCGTCAGAGACCCGTACCTCGGTATCGTTCCACCGACCCCCATCCCCATCTTCATCCCTTTCGAGACCCCCACCACATCACCACCCCAGTTGGGGATGCACCCCTCGAAGCCCGAAGCCCGAAGGGAACGGCCTAGATCCCCATCCAGGGGGCCAAATCGGCCAGTGGGGCCCAGGCCACGCCGCTGGGGATGGAGATCGGTGAAACGATGCTCAGTACCGCACCACGACCCGAAAGCCAGAGCTTCTCGCGTCGTGGCAGCGGCTGCTGTTGGCGGCGTGTTCGGCAACTGGGGGACCTCACCAGCCCCCTATAGTTGGAGGCTGATAGACCTCCTACCCTGACACGTCGATCAAGGAATTCGCCGTTTTCGGTTCGCGAGAGGGCGTCGCGGCCGTCATTGTTGCGGGTCCAGGTCCGTCGGTGTCGGCCCCAGGCCGTTTTCACTAAGGGGAGGTTTACTAAAGGGAAGTTTGCCGCCGATAAAGGACCGTCAGAGACAGCTCGGAACGAGACGCCCGTCCCGGGTAGGGGGCCACATGCGAACCCTACCCTTACCCCACGCGATTTCTGAGGGTAAGGGTGGGGTTCATTTCAGAAATCGTAGTGGGGTAGGGGTGGGGTTCGCATGTGGCCCCCTACCTGGAGAAGTGGTCCAGATCTCCGTGGGTCCACGCTGCGAGCAGAACACGGCCTTCGTGCTGACCCCCGAGGCCCTCACGGCTCGATCCGGCTCGACGCAGAGAGATGGGTGTCGGGATTTGGTTTGGGTCTTCAACGATGATTGCAGGATTCTCGAGCGAGATCCCAATTATGAACGTGGCATGCTGTCCATCCGTGCACGCAGCTGTCGGCAATATGTAAGACGCATGGGCGCAGCGCCTAGTCGACAGCCACATGTTGAAGAGATCCGCCCTCTTTCCGTGTGGTTTTGCTGGAAGCGCAAGACGGGTGTGTGTTTCTGTTCGCGGCGTCAGATCTCAGGGGACGTCGGAGTTCTGTGCCTGCACTCGTGTGCGTCTGTGCCGTTCTCGCGTGGCCGGGGGGGGCGCCGCCGCGGGCGCGCGCAGAAAGGGGGCCGTGGCGAGGGGGCCGGCCCGGTCCAATTTCGAGCAGATGGGGTCGGAGGATCGCGCCGCATCGCCGATGCGTCGGTGCGGCTCCGTTCAAGCAGTGGCGAAGCGTCCTGGCTCGCCTATAGGCCTACCAGAGAATGTTCTAAGAACTTCTTGTGGTTTCAACGAAATGTTGTTTTTGAACAGTTCTGGTTGGAACTGTCTTGTTTTAACACATCGGGTTTGTGTTCTAAGAACACTGTTCTTGTTTTGGATCATTTTGGGGTTCTAAGAACATCGTGGTAGGGACGGTCGGTCCCTGCTCAATCCACGTGACCCCCGGTTTTCTCCGCGCCGACGTCGCCGATGCACCACCGACTTCGCCGATGCATCCGCGATGCATCGGCGCCGCGGCGCGATCGTCCAGCCCCGTGCGCTCGGACCCCACGTGGGGGGCCTCTGGAGAGGACAGGGGGGGTGCGTTTCGGCAGGGATTGGAGGCTACCAAGCCAGACATCTGGCGCCTCGAACAAATGTGAGGCAGCTGGTTTGTCACCGTCTTGGCCTTTGAGGCAGATATCGGGCCTCCAGGGCCATCAAAAACTACTCGGGACGGGACGAAATGCCAGCCTTGGGGAACAACCGGAGAGGCCCCACGCATCTCGAAAAGGTCGAAGCGCCGGACGTCTGGGAAGAGGTTTCTGAGAAGCCCTGCTCGGAAGACCGCCCCCCTCGCCCCATCACCCAAAGGTCCACTTCGATCCGATCGGTCCGATTCGATATCGGTTCCGCCCGATCCGATCCTGACCCCGGAACCGATGCGGCCCGACCCCTCCGCGCCGTGAGGAGACCACGACGGGCGGTTTTCGGCTACCGCCCACCCCCGGGGGCCCTCCCCGGACCCCAGGGCCGCCACAACACGACCCAGGATGACAAGTTGGTCCCAGGGAAGGGGTTAGGGGAGCCACGTTGTAGAAAAGATTGGGGTGGGAGGAGGGGGGAGGAGGAGGAGGGAGAAGGGAGGAGGGAGAAGGGAGGAGGGAGGGAGGAGGAAGAGGAAGAAGAGGCGCAAGAGGAGGAAGGAAGGAGGAGGAGGAGGAGGAGGAAGGAGGGAGGAGGGAGGAGGGAGGAAGAGGAGGGGAGGAGGAGGAAGGAAGAGGAGGAGGAGAAGGGAGGAGGGAGGAGGAGGGAGGAGGTAGGAGGAGGAAGAGGAGGAAGAGTAGGGAGAGGGGAGGAGGAAAAGGAGGAAGAGGAGGGAGAAGGGAGGAAGGAGGAATCAGAAGAGCGAGGAGGAAGAAGAGGTTGCAGGGGTCTTCCCGACTCCTCCGGCTCGCATCGAACCGACCTCCCGGCTGCTGATTCGAACCGACTCGATCCTGAGATTCCGATTTGCGATTCCGATTCCGCCGTCGCCCGATCCGACGCCTGCCGATGCGATGTGGCAGCCGCGTTCGGCCAGATTCCTGCCGATGCGGCTTCGCTCCGTCGCCGCCCGGGGGAGGGCCCGTGGGGACTGGGGGGGGCCACGGACGGGCGCCTTCCTCGTGGCCACGGCTGGGCCCGCCTCGAGGAAAAAAAAAACAAAAACAAAAAACAAAAAACGGCTGGGCCCGCCTCGAAGTTCTTGCCCAGACGCCCCCTGGGGCAGCCCCGGTCTGCGGGGGGGGGACAGCGGGAGGGGATTTTGGACGCCCGAAATGGGTACGGAAAGAATGGGTACAATGCCCAACAAAAGATGTTGTCCCAAACCAACAGCGGCCGCTGTTGGGCAGGCGGCCTTCTGTCTCAAATGGACACAGGCCGCGGCGGCGCGGACAGCGAGTTCTGTTCAAAATGAACAGGAACTGCTGTTGGGCATTGTACCCATTCTTTCCGTACCCATTTCAGGCGTCCAAAGAGACAGTGGAAGGGGGCAGTGAAGCATGCCAAAACAATTTTCTCGGGATTCCAACGCCACGGATCAACCTGATTGTTGCGTCTTGACGATCTCCAATCGTGCCAGACCACCGCTCCTGAGATTTCAGCACAGCGAATCAACGTAACTGTTGCGCCTTCATCCGCCTGAATCCTTCCAACAGCAACATCATTGGTATTATGATCATGGGGATCCGTGGAAACCTTGCACATGTTTGAAACGAATGCACCCCGCTCCAAGCGAGGTCCACATTTTGAAAAGGAACCGCCTTCAATCCGTGAAATTCTTGCAACTGTGTCAAACAAATGTGCGCGGCGCTAACGCGAGAGCCACAGTTTGAAAAGGAGTGGCCCTCAATCCGTGAAGCTCTTGCAAATGTTTAAAACGAATGCGCGCAGCGCTAAGGCGAGAGCCACATTTTGGAAAAGAAACGCCCTCAATTCAATCCCTGAAGCTCCTGCAAGCGTTTAAAACGAATGCGCGCGGCGCTACAGCGAGAGCCACAGTTTGAAAAGGAACCGCCCTCAACCCGTGAAGCTCTTGCAAATTTCTAAAACGAATGTGCGCGGCGCTAAGGCGAGAGCACCATTTTGAAAAGGAACCGATGTTGCAATGTTTTCCGACGAACGAGCGCGGCGCTAAAGTGAGTGCTGAAAAGGAGCCGCCCTCAATCCGTGAAATTCTTGCAAATGTTTTAAGACGACTGTGCGCGGCGTTACGGCGAGAGCTGCCGCCCTTAGCCCGTGAACCTCTTGTCATGGTTTAAGACGAATGCGCGCGGCGCTAAGGCGAGAGCCACATTTTGAAAACGACCCGCCCTCAACACGTTAATAGACGAATGTGCGCGACGCTGTGGCGAGAACCAACTTTTGAAAACGACTCGCCCCCAATCCGTAAAACTCGCTGCAAATGTTTAAAACGAATGTGCGCGGCGCTAAGGCGAGAGCCACATTCCGAAAACAACCCGCCCTCCATGTGTGAAACTGTTGCCATTTAAATGCTGCAGAGTCAGAAATGGTGAGGAAGTCTCAGGCGAAACGCCAGGCCCGCCCTGAAAACTGAAAAGGAATGGAGGAGGAGGAGGAGGAGGAGGAGGAGGAGGAGGAGGGAGGAGGGAGGAAGGAGGAAGCGGAGGGAGGAGGAAGAATAGGAGGAGGAGGAGGAGGAGGAGAAAGAGGAAGAGGAGGGCCAGCCCCGATGGGCTTCTCATGTCACGCGCTGGATTGGTCAGCAGGCTGGCACTGCAGCCTGGGCGCAATCGGAATCGGCTCCAGGCGGCCCTGCGGAGGCGGTTCAACCAGCCCGCCTGTTTGGGCTCGCCAAGGGGCTCGCTGGGCCAGGCAGGCCTGGGATGAAGAGATACACCGATCAGAATTTGCAGAAAAATATCACATTCCATGGGCCCCAGATTCCGCATGAGAAAGTCCGGAATTTGGGTCAGATCCCAGCGATTTCTTGGGGTTGGACGATTGCTC